CAGATGTCCCCGGGCGCCAGCTAGTTAGGGGCGCCAAAATGTGCTTTGATATTATTTTATTGATGAAAATAATGGGTTTGAGAGTTGAAAAAAAGAAAAAGGGGCGCTAAAAATGGATCTTGTCCCCGGGCGCGAATCTTGTCCCCGGGCGCCAAACACCCTCGCTACGCCACTGGCAGTTTACAAAGCAATTAATTTGTTATTCTACTTAAAAAATAAAATGTAATAATTAAAGGACTGCATTCAAGCAAAGTAAATAAAAAAAGCTAAACAAGGTATTTGGAAGCTTCAATTTAAGGACAGAACAATAAGATTAGAACGTTTCGGCATAGAGGCTTTTATCCTGTGTGCTGAGGAAGGCATTCTATTAATTTAAGAAGAAAATAAATAAAAATGACATTTAAGTAGTTATTTTATTTTAAAAATTTTTCATTTTATTGTTGTACACATTTAATACTGGGGAAGGGCACTTGATATTCTCGGGTGGGGGGGGGGGGGGAGAAATTAACTGCTTCCCTAATATAAGTAATAGTTATTATGCAATCTATTTTGTAATTATCTAAAGGTTTGAGCTGGCATTATTTAGCATCAATTAATATAACCGCCCGTATTTATCCTTGCTCCCCCGAAATACGCTACGAATTCTTTTTTTTTTTTTTTTGTTTAAAAATTTAAATGGGGGGGGAGGGCTTTTTATTTTTGGGGGGGGGGGGGGGGGGAGAGAAATTAACTGCTTCCCTAATATAAGTAATAGTTATTATGCAATCTATTTTGTAATTATCTAAAGGTTTGAGCTGGCATTATTTAGCATCAATTAATATAACCGCCCGTATCTATCACTGCTCCCCCGAAATACGCTACGAATTCATATTACATGGTTTCAATAGGATCAACAAAATGCGATATTTAAACGCTTTTAATCATAAACTTAATTTTTAACTTTAGACATAATTAGCAGGAATACATTTTCGCTACGGTCATTTTTTTAAAATAATAAGCTTTAAACTTACATTTCTTATTCTGTTTTTAAACACAATTTTTTTTTGGTAGGTTCACTAAAATAATGGATGTGTCCCCCCATTATATTAAGATGTAATTTATCACATTTGAGAGATATTTTATTTCTAATATATTCCTTTCAAATATTATAAAATACATTTATATACTATATACATATTTAAATAAAATAGAGAAAAACTCTTAATATTTTTAAGCAAATCTGTTGATCAATTCTTCAATCAACAATTTCTAATAAATTATGGTTTATTTTTTTAATGTTATTTGTTTCAAAATTGTGCACTTTTGCTGTTAAATTTTTTTTTAAAATTTGCCATGCAAACATTGCAAAGTCAAGTAACATTTCCTTCTAGCGTAATTTTTTAAGTGATTAAAGGCGTATAAGAGCAAATAGAAGAGAATCAATTATTTATGTATTTATCAATGTAAAAAAAATGTATAACAATGAGTCTAATCAAGAAGTGGCTTATAATAAATAAATACTCTGTTTCTTTATCAGTCTTTTTTGGAACGCAAGCTCAAAAGTTAATCCTAAATGAGTACGACCAATTGGAAAGTGGTACGAAATGTAAACAGGGACTTCTCCAAGGAAAGGACTTTGCTATATTCAAAGGAAGTGTAAACATGGAAGGGGCGTCACCCGGCTATTCAAAAGTCGTCGAGCTTGGCCTAAAAACGAGTCAGCTTTCTCACATTCATATTGTAAATTTTTAGTTATGTCTATTACAAAGTTTAACATGTATAATTATACCTTAATGGGGTTGGGGCGGGGGGGGGGGAGGGAGAGAAGTTTCCAGAATAGAAACTCTAGCTAGAATCTCAAGCGAGTATTCTCTTTGTCTATCTCTCTCTTTCTCTTTGTCTGTCTCTGTCTCATTGTCTCTCTGAGAGAGAGAGAGAGATTCTCTCTCTCTGTCTCTCTGTCTCTCTCTCTCTCTCTCTCTCTCTTATATATATATATATATATATATATATATATATATATACATATATATATATATTTATATATATGTGTGTGTGTGTGTTAACTCATTTAATATTTTGACATCAGGTAAACATAACATTTCATAGAATTGGTAATTTTAAAGGCAATCGAAGGGCTAACCTATCTCCATGTATAATTTAGAATTATGGTCAGACTTCTGCTAAAATCAAGTAAAATAAAACAAAATATACAGCATTGCATTAAATATCGGCAATACGCTATTGATTATAAAAAGTAAATATTATTAGCATTTTCAAATTTAAAAAAAAATGTAATTAAATATGGACGATAAAATATCACGTGGCCCTCTTTATTTTGCTATTAATATGAAAATTTTAAACCGTACGTACTCTCTAATTTCATCCAATTATTTATATTTATTCATGTGTTATTTATTTCTTTTTACTTTTGAAAATGAAATGTAGAAAGTTTCACATCATATATTTATTCTTACCATCAGTTATGTGTGCTTCAAACTGGCCATACATGCAGTGAAAGAGAGGAAGGCTATCCTTGTTACTGTGACAGTGTGGATGATGATAAGACATCTCATTTAGTCTTCAACATAACCGCCACAACATCTGTAAGTCAGGCAGACATTCGTTTACAAGTCTCGCATATAAACAAGAGCCAGATCTTTAGTGAGACAAGGAGTTTACCTGAAATTTTTGGTAAACAACGTTTACATATCTTACGCTTTTAATATGATAAATGGTACGCGTATTTAATATTAACATGGATAATTTCAAAGTAGCTTTTGCCCGAAACTAAAGGGCATGCATAACGTAGGACAAACATATCCTTTTAATTTGTGTTAGCTGTATAAGAGATTTAATAAAACTTAAATTTTTAATACGTTCTTGTTCGTGTTGTAGAAAAAACGGAATCAATTCAAATAAATGATTTGGTACCGGATACAGACTCTTGTTTTCTGAAGTTAAATACAAGTGATGACGTCATCAATTCATGCTGTCATAACATGCCCCAGCCTTGTGTATCAACGATATACCGTAACGGCCTCAAGGTGGCGTCTAGTGATGTGTGTTCGTCGTATCAAGCACGTGAATTCTCTGCATGGGCGTCAATTTACAAGTTTACTGTTTCTGTGTGTGGCGATGAACATTTTGTTAAACCAGTAACGTGCATAGCTGAACATGGTATGTATGTCTCATTATGTTCAACCGTAATGTGCATAAATGAAAATGATATCTGTCTAGATATGTAATTCTATAAGTCCCTTGAAACTACAATGACATTATCTAAGTTTCACAACATTAATTTTAAAAATGTTTTACACTTTTAAAACGCATGTGTCTCAAAATAGTCGATTATTTAACTTAAATACAGTTATTTTAAAATAGTATGAAATATCGAGGTGCACAATGTAAATCTATAAAAAATTAATAAACTTATAATCTTGAAGTTTCTTTACAAAAATCAGATGTGACACATTAAAGAATAATTAGTATTACATCGTCTTAATGTAAATACATCATTATATTTGTTTTCAGCATGTGTTAGTTTGAACAAAACTGTTTTTCATAATATATCATTTCAATATGTTTTAGGTGAACATTTATCACAAAACGCTGATGAATCCTTGGATTTCCCATGTAGATACACAGCGGCTATTTTTAGGCTAACTATAGCTATTTTACTACTGCTCTTGCTTATGGGTAATTTTTTTTCACATTCTAGTTTAAAATATTGTATTTCAGTTGTTTTTTTTTTTTACTTTGTGTTAAACATTTCAAGCACATTTATAAAAGTTTATGTATATTTAAGGAAGCTCTTACATTCAAATTTAGCATTTATTTTTTACAGTTTTAATCCAGACGTCAATCATTTTTCATCGGTAAGTAAATTCTGAATTCTAAAATGAAATCGAAAGAATTATTTAACATTTGTTAATATAACTGAAAAATTAAACATGACACGAGGAAGTAAAACATTATTTATGATGATAGTTGGACATTGTTAAATATGAAGCACAAAAATAAAATGAATCTTATTTATCACACTAAAAAATGAACTATTAAGTAAGGCATTGTTGCAGAAGACGATTATTAATTCGTTATATTAACTTTTAGAGGATATTTTGGGTGCTGGGTGGCCGAGTGGTCTATACTGTGCAAATCTCCCAGGAAGTCTGGAGTTTAATCCCCATCAAAGCCCAGTCGAGCAAAAGAACATCACCAGCACCGCGTGTGGATGGGACTCGTCAATCTTGGCAACTTATCTTAGAGAAGGAAACTCTCAATTCAAACCGGGAGATGGAGTCACGTAGGCTGTTAGCATTGGTACAATTAAACATTCCGACAACTCCTGCGACTGATGACAAGCTGTAACATTCCCATGATGTTCCCTTAAGTTATCCAGCGCCTTAGAGATAGGCGATTTGCTATTGGAAACCAGCTTATAATCCTAGAAGAATAATGCCAGGCTTGTGGAATTCGTCCTGCAAAGTCTGCACCATCGTCACATTGTGACGGACGGATACCAGCATTCCAGAGTATATTTCTAACAAAAAATTCCTCTGAACACCTATTACGCTGTAGTTTTTTTTGCTTTGTTTTACTAAATGTCTGTTTACTGAACTAAAGTAATTTGACTTTTAAACGTTTAAGTGCCATTTCATTGAAGAAAGAAATCACTTTTATTTCATTGGTTTATATCTTTTATTTTTCTAGTTTAAGAGATTACTGTGCAAGAAAAAAAGAAGGGACGCAGTCGAGGAATATACATTTTTAGGGAAGGCATCGTCAACTTTAAAGTACATGTGACCGTGAGAGCAATGGCATCCACGTCAGAAAAGTCCTATTGTAACCAAATGCAGTTACCTGTGTAATTAATAATTTTCTTATGGATGCACGAATGATATATTGTCAATGTTGGTTTTTTTAAATATAGTAAATGAATGACCAAGGTAATCGCTTATCCTGTAATTGACTCCACAGTTAAATTGAAGATTCTAGTGCTAAATATACTTAAGTCACAGTTTTTTTTTTCAAAATCTTACTCAACGTGACTTTTTCTTATCCGGTTTAGCCAAGTGTACTGCAGAAATTTGAACACATTAAAATGTGCCTAAGTCTCTTAATTAAAGAAGATAAAATATGAAACTGATCAGATTTCATAGAAGAAAAGAATATTTCAACTTGATAATCTCGAAATGTGGATATTATGACCTAAGTACTTATACTAAGGTCTTCAATTTTAGACCATAAAAATCGTTTTGCATGCTTTTTCTACAAAAAGAGCAAATTGGTCACCTTTATGTTTCTTATTATTGTCGCTCACGAATCAAGTTTCATAAACAGTTTCTTAATTGTCTTTAAATCAATAATGATTGGTCAGGCTTTTTTATTTATTTTTTAATAATATGATACCCTTTTTCTTGTATATCTTCTTATTTTACTTTTTATACATCTCTTTGTTGTGTGTGGTCATCCGTATTTGAAAAATTATACAGTGTTTGCAGGCGAACCATTTACAATACTCAATAGATAGATGATTAAAAAATAATCAGAGACACTATGAGAGGATTTAAAGTATAAGATACATGCATATTTCTAAACACAATCAGTACATACTAGTGGAAACACATCCTGCATTGCAATGCCACTCAAAGGAGAAATGTGTTTGCAATTTAATTTAGTCTTTGACGTTAATTTTAAATAGAAAATATTTGTTGTTTTTTTCCGTCCGTAGCGTACACAAATTAAATAATTTAGAAGGTTTTTCAACACGTGAGTAGGCCACATATAGCTGTCCACGTGAGAAGCATGGAATTTTTATTTGAATTCCGTAAAAGAATAGAAAATAACTATGATTGTTTTTAAAAATCCGAGCGTATCTAATTATTTTCGAATCTTTAGCGTTCCTGTCAGCACAGCTCATTCCTCAATATATGAAATAAAACTTTATTAGACAGGTTATCATACACAACAAATATATCACTTACACTTTTAAATTTATTTTGTAAAGGTTAATTCGGTGTTAAATAAGTATTAATAGACGTTAGTGTGTCTGGGTTTCTATTAAGGTGTTATGTTGTTAACAGGTGGATTAAATTTATTGGATGAGTGTTGGGATACATTGCGGCGTTAGAGAGTTAGTCCAGGGGAAATGAGGTAACGGTTGGTCAGATAGAATACAGAACGCACTGGAGGTGGGTTAGGTAGATTGCTGGGTTTAGTTGGGATTAGGATAGATGAGGTTAGTTATTAAGTAGTTGCCCAGTTTTCAGTTAAAGGAAGAGAATGGATGAAATGGTAAATGTCATAGCATGGACGTGTTGAACATTTAGGGCTTATTTATGGTGTTGAGGTATAACAAGTAGTTGAAATATGGAGAAATAGGGGCAAGGTCTGAGATTCTGCATTGAATTGAGTGGTGTATGCATATAGTAATTCCACCATTGTGTTTATTTAAAACATTTAATGTTTGCAATATACATAACATGATGATATTTCTCTACTGCATTTAATGTCATAAAGTATTATTATTATTTCTTTTTTTTTTAAACCATAAAACCATGATCTATCATGGAACCCTTTAGATCTTAAATATACCTTAGTCATTGTAGGTAATGTTTTAATTTAAATGTTAACCAATTGAAAAGTGACAACATAACGATAGTCTTCAGTGTGCGTGAGCGTTAGATAGCTTCGACATTCAGAAAGTTTGAGATTGGGCGTCGCTGCAACGGTCCCGGGCTCCTATAACTTAATGGTGGGGGACGAACTTGAAAAATAACACACAATATTAATTGTTTTTTAAAATATTTTTATTGGAATGGGCTGTTCATTTTATTACCGTATATACTCGCATATAAGCTGAATTTAGAACTATAAAATACAATACTAAAATCAGGGGGTCGGCTTATATGCGCATAAAACAAAATGGACACAAGGACAGGTACTAATGCCAGTTTTCCAGCCACACATTTTCATCTCTATCTGACTCTTTATTTTTAATATTTTGTAAATATATACTTCGTTAATCATTAGTTGTCAACAACTTATGAGCGGAAATTCAAATATTATTATAGCAAACAATGTGGAAAGAGCAAAACACGTTTTTGTGTCATTCCAAAAGGTAAAACAAACTGGTATTTAACATAAAAGTAAGCATTTTACATCTTTACAGTAACAATTTTCTATGAACCAAAAATATGGAGTAAAATTAAACAATTGTATGGCCGGCTTATATGCGGGTTTTGGCAAAAATTGGCCATTTTAAAGCAGTTTTAAGGGGTTTGGCTTATATGCGATGTAGGCTTATGTGCTAGTATATACGGTATTTTGTTCTCTTAGGGCTTCTTGATGCAAAAAAGTGTTGGAAAATGCACACTTTAAAAGACGGCCGTGAAGTCATTTTCTTTGAAGTTTTTGTGTGTGTCCTGTCAAGGACATTTAGAGGCACTGGATTAAATTTCAGTTTTACGAATTAACTGTTGTTAATTGTTTAACTTCTTATGGAATAACAATAATTTACGTATACTAGCCAATCTATAAGGTTTTGTTAGGATTTGAATTCAAAAAGTCCTCTAAAGCGTTTTTAGCGAACATGCATAAAATGGACACTGTCAAAAGCACTTCACTAACATACCAAATACAATTTGAAAAAGAACACATAAACATCTTTTGTTAAAATGTGAGATATATTTTAACTCTTTTAAACAATGAATTTTCGGGCTGATCCCCTTGTTCATTTGATCTTTTAGGTGAGCAGAGCCAAGAAACATGGCTATATACCAAAATATCTTTTAAATGATGGCTTGTTTAAACAAAAAGTCTTTACCAACGTCAAACCTATGGTCGTTGATCAATTAAAATACATTGGGATCCCGATTATAAATGGGTTATTTTAAATATCCATCCCTATTTTTTTTTTAAATTGAAACATATTTAAGTTCATTTTCAAATGTTATCCAATTCGAAGAATTCAATGGAAGTTTTATTTATCTATCTCATATAAATAACAAAATTTAGACCCTCCCCTCCCCCCCAAACCTAAACACAGTAATTGAAATAATAAATGCAATAACGGTCAAAATTTTTCTCTCGATATTGAAGTGAAACATGTATGTATCCCAAGTTTTTTCAGCATCCATTAATCCATGTATGCAATACAAACAGACATATTTTCTCATGTATAAAGTATATACATATCATACCAGATACATTGATGAAGAAATAGAAATGTTATTGAACGATCTTTATATTAATATATATTATATAAGACATGATTTTTTTATTTTTTTTTAACAAACTTTTACATCTAAATAAATATCGGTGTGACGTTTTATGTTTTGCCCTTATTAATTTCCTTGCACCCTTTTAAACTGTAACAGTGCCATGTATTTAACCGGTATAAATCTAGACAGAATATTATTGTGTATTTCATTTAGGTATCTGAGCATGAATTTATAACATGTATAATACTTCTATTAAAATAGAAAATGGAATCTACTATGAACTGACATTGTTATGTGTGTAATAAGCTGTGTCTTTGAGACATTAATATACTCATTTAATAATGAGAAATGGCGGACTGCGTTCAAGATGTATGAAGAAAAGAGAGGAACAGTGTATGTGGAAGTGTCATGTAGAAAACGCGTTTACGTCATATTTCACCGTACTGTGAACCCTGACTGACGCCAAAATACGGCTGAGCTATTATTAAGGTGTGGCTTACTAATTATAGTATCATTTTGACCTCGGTTACAATTAGCTACAATCAATAGTCTATATATTCTTAAAATTCCGCAGAATATTGTAGAAGCGGCGGGAAAATTTATGATTTTCTGTTCCCGAAAAAATCTCATAAAACGGCTATAAAAAGACGACAGATTGATTTACCACAGCAGCCGACTGATGAGAGTTTTTGAACGTGTGCTATTTGTGCTAGAGAGCTTTTTTTTACTGTGTTTGTGTAGATTTCTTTGCACCGTTCTATTTGTACATTGTGTTTTATTCATTATTGTATCTGTACAAGAAAAACATTATTCTGTAAGTCAGTAGCTTAAAATATATTTTTTCTTTTTACTTTTGAAGTTTATAATTAACTTAATCAAAGTTATTAATTGTAATTATCCCTGGTTTGAGTGTCGTATTCTTTTTAATGTATTTATCATTTGATGTCGTCATTTGTTGTGTACTGTTTTCAAACGAGCTGTACACTTAATTAACAGATTATTTTCTCCCTACTAATGACAGTTCGTAACAGGAAGCTTTTAAATTGGAAAGACAGGCAATAAAAGAAGAACATTTGGGCTAAGAACCTTCCTCAGCAGACAGGAGGAATGAAGAAATAACAAGAAACTACACATACGCTGTTCTTCTGTTATATTCATTCAATGCACTCACTGACGTAGTTTTACTAAGTGCTGAATTAGGACTAAATCACAAACTTGCAACTCTCCCATCCCCACAAGCAACCACAATAAAAAGTTGGTTTTAACAAAAATGAATGCAAAGCCTTAGTTATGTAAAATTACCCTACAAACACGCCCCTAAACTATATGATAATTCTAATCTAATCTTCAACACCCCTTATACCACCCAATAAACAAAAATTTCTTGAAATTTTGCAACACTGATTTGTGTTTATTTAAAAAATATGATAATAATGTTTTCTCGAAAAACTCATTTCAAATATTTTTGAAAGCACATGCAATAAAGTGTTTATTTAATATACGTGCATAAAGCAAACGTATTTTGTATCGTATATTACAATTATTTTTGCCTTAGATATTTAGAATATATGGTCCGTTTTGATATGTGGCTGCAATATTTCACTAATTTTAATAGGTGACAATTAGGCTTAGGGTTGCTAGACGTCCAGAAAAAGGAGGACATGTCCTCCGTTTTAGCTCAATATTCTTCGTCCGGCAGGCAAAGCTATAATCTTTTGAAATGTCCGTCTTTTCTTACATTTTATAGTATAATTTGTTTGTATCGTTGTTACAACTAATTCATCGAATTTTTACGTTGTTACAATGTGCAAAGTATATGCATTTCTTCGAAATTGTCGATTTTAATCACTCTAACAATATAGCTCTGTGCTGTATTATCTATGGTCAAAATGTTAATGTTATTTTCAGTTCTGGGATCAAAGACGCAATTTTAAATTGTTTTTTTTTTTTTTAACTTGCAATTTATGCCGTCTGTCTTTATGAAAATGGCTTCAAAAAAGAGAAAATGCAAATTCAATGGTTATTTGTCCGTTTCCAACAAAGGAGCTACTGACTTGAAGCGCCATTTTAACAGTGGCAGACGTAGAAACCTAATCAAAGTTTCCGCATCATCGAACTAATTGACGTCTCTTTTTTCAGCCTAAGTATTCAAATGTGTTGCTGAAAGCACATGCGCCTGAAGCAACTTTGGCATTTCATACAGTTTTTCATTATTAATCTTACAACTCGATGACCTGCTCAGATGGTTTGCTGCACACATTATTTGAAGATTCGGAAATCGCTAAAAATATTGCATGCGCAAAAACAAAGATTGAAGCAATAATAAACCAGGTAAATGGCCACCCCACTGTTTAAATTGGGTAAATCTGGAGTTTGCATTTCACATATTTGTCTTTCGACAGATGCTAGCAAACACGTTCGCAGAAAATATTTCCGATCGTTGTTAAATACTTCAACTTGAAGGCAGGTGGAATCCAAACTAAGATTCTTGATTAAGACAACACACCAAAAGGAATCTCAGAAACTATATCACAGTACATTTTTAGAATACTCAAAAAATATGATCTGTACTCCAAATGTATTGCTTCTACTGGTGACAATGCCAAAGTAAATTTTGGAGGCAATAACAGAAGAGATGGTAAAAATGTGTTTTCGCATTTGAAGGACGCCTTGAGCAAGCCATTAGTAGGTGTTGGACGTCCTGTAGACGTTCTGCACAACTGCATCCAACATGGCACAGATTAAATGGAGATTGACCTTGAAACTATTGTATTGAACTTGAAGATATTCAATCACTTGTCTATAAACACTGTCAGAACAGAAACTTTAAAGCAGTTTTGTGAATATTTCGACATAAACTAGCAGCAATTGCTGTATCATTCTAAAATCAGATGGCTCAGTTTGTTTCCAGTTGTTGGGAGGTTGCAGAAGAAGTTGTTTACTGCTTTGAAGGAATATTTTATTTCTGTAAAACAACAACCTGCTAAGAAAAAAAAAATTTGAGAGATATTTTTCAGAAATTTACCTCTGCATTTCTTGATGTCTGTCTTCCAATTCAATATTGCAGTCGTTGAAAGAGAAGAAACATCAGTATTAGAGGTTATGAGCCTTCTTCCCACAACCTTGGAAGTTTTGAAAAAAAGATTGAAGAAGAGATTTATTTCACTGACAGTCATGGATATGTTGAGAAGACTTGAGGAAAGTGGTCGAGAAGAAGAGTATAATACTTTTATGGCAGATGTCAAATTGGTGTATAAAGCATGCATTAGTTACTTAGAGAAGTGGTTGAAACCTTTTGATTAATTTCAATGCTTTGATTGGATGTAATTAGATAAAAATCAAAGACCATAAATTTGATGACCTTTTGGCATGCATATTGTATCTGAAAGAGAAGGGTATCATTGTAGATGATGTGCAATTGTTTGACCAATACTACAATATTAAATAATTTGTACAAGACAAAAATGAACAGTTTTTTGAAAGACTCTTGCATGAACAGTGAAGTTTATTTTTCCAAAGTTGCCCAAATGCATGTTGCTTTTCAGAGTTTCTTAAAATTTGTGAATTTTTCTTCTGTATCCCTGGACCCAATGGCAATATTGAAAGAATGTTCTCCTTGATTAATTCTCAATGGACAAAGGAAAGGAATAGACTCTTACTCGACTCTGTAAAGGGCATCATTCTTACAAAGAACAATTCGAAGAATTTTACCTGTCAACAGTTAAATGCATATGTGATTGCTAACGAGGATCTTCTGCGAAAAGTTAGCTCCGCCGAGAAATATGTCATGTAATTAAAAAATATTATACGGCAATTATTGCACAATTGGCCATTTAAATGATGTTTTTTGACATTTTGAAAAAGGCGTCCTTTGAATTTGTTTTTTTAACTTGACTGTTTCTTGATCGATTCACTAGGAGTAAGATAAACTTAATTGGCAGCCATTACAATAAAATTGCGCTGACTGTGAGTTAAATCCGGGACGACTCAAATGAAGCATTCAAAATGTCCTCCTTTGTCCCCCCCCCCTTTTTTTATTACGTCCTCCTTTTGGTGTCCACGTATCTGGCAACCCTAATTTGGCTTAAAATTTTCACTCTTTAAAAAATGTTTTGAAATTTAAAAATATAAATATTTTATTTCATAGTTCATATACTCATAGCTTTAATTTATTGTTGTACTCATTTTTTTCCCTGGGAGACACCCGAATTCCGTCGGAAGGGTGGGCACCCTTACCGGAGGAATGACTGAAAGAAACATTGTCTTTGTTAGGTCAGGAGGAGTGACGATGTCAATTTTGGTTTCGTTTCATTGTTTGGTTTGTTGTCGTCGAGTTGTATAAACAGTCATGATGAGCTTTATAAAGTAGATCTCTTATGTATTTATAGAATGGCCAGGGTCACAAGGGCTTAAGCGCCACCCAACAGATTATAATTATAATTTAAGCGTTAGAAAAGATAGATGGCAACAACTCATACAATAATCCAGCAAACATTGTTTGTACCTTGACCTACATTGCCATAAAACATGACCCAAAAAAAACCCAAACCAGATGCTCCTAATCGATAGTTACACACAGTGATGAAGAGATACAAATTTAGGTCAGTACAATACTCTATGCTTCTCGGTTTTGTCATTTTATATTAAAATATACGAGATTAGAATTAGGTTAACTATTTTAATAACACTGGATAGTTATTTTCTCCTCTTTAGTATTTAATGGTCGTTTATTTATGCTTGTAATTAGTTTTTGTAGTGTTGCGTTTGTTTTAAATGCGGTAAATTATAGATTTGTTATTTTTTGACTTTGTACCGCGCTTCGAGCCTTTGGGATGAAGCGTGTTTTTTAAATGAACTTTATTATTATTATTATTATTTATTTATTTTCTTAACTTCTAAAAGAAATTACACTTGTTTCGTTTAAAAATCATATTAACTGCATAGAGAACTAACTGATTGAATGTGTGTCAGAATCATTGACTTTTTTGTTTTACCTTATCTATGCATTATTCTTTAATATGCCTAGAACTCAGCATATATCAACGCTTTTTTAGGTGATAGTACTTTTTATTCATTGGTCTCTTCCAAATTTAAATTCATTTTATTTTTAATATAGAAAAAAAATATTGCAAAGTAGGCCTATACACATCATTAAGAGTGATGGGGAAATTCATAATAAAAGATATATTAATGAAATGTTAAAAAACATAATTATATATTGTACGACATTAATTCTCAAGAATGTTATAATTCTTAACGCAAAAGATAAGTAACCATTTAATTAATAAAAAATGTATTAAGTTTTTAAAGTAATG